GAGTGTGCCAGCCTTGAGCACAAAAGCTCAGAGACAATACTCAGGCCTTGAGTTCAAGTCCCAGGACCAGAAAAAAATTAATGTGGCTTATTGATAGGATAAAAAGCAATAACAGCGTAGGACATGGAGCCAAATGCCAAAGTCCAAATCCCTGCTGCGTATTACAGGCCAACAAACTCCCTTGAGACTCAGTTTTGTCATCTGTAAAATGGAGAACATAATTACAGCATCTATTTCATACAAAATTAGAGGACTACATGAGATTGACCAGAGGAAGTAACTTGCATAACAAGATCAGCACCAATAAGCACTTGTGAAGTAGTAATTACATGTCTGTAGTATGTCCTAAAATATAAATTAAATATGTAGTTCATGTTAGAAAGGAGCAGGGAGAGCTACTGTACAGAAAAATTATGTATCTGGCCATCATTCTTTGGCCATAATGCTTCTAGGTGAGCAAGTCCATTTCATCATCTCTGCAACCTTAGCTCTGCCTCTTAGAAGAAAGATGAGGCAAAACAAGACAAGAGGAAGATATGGGAACTTGATCTGGGAAAATATGCGAGTCTCACAGAATTTTTTTAATGTTATAGCCACATGTTGGTGACTCACACCTGTAATCCCACCTACTCAGAAGTCTGAGATCTGAAGATCATAGTTGAAGCCTGTCCAGGCAAGAAAGTCCATGAGATTCTTATCTCCAGTTAACCACCAAAAAGCCAGAAGTAGAGCCATGGCTCAAGTAGTACAGCACTCGCCTTAAGTGAAAAAAGCTGAGGGACAGCACCCAAGCAGTTGTATCTTCTTAAATGTTTCAGACTAGTACTATAATGAAGTATCTTTCAGGAATAGAAAAACATCCTTAATATGATTTTTTTCATTTGCATAAATATTATTTTATGTAGTCAGAGGCATTACACCTTTGTGATCCTCCCCTAAGAATATCCTCTTTCAGTCTCACTGTGTGAGAATGCCTAGAGTCTAGAATAAGATCAAGACAGGGTGTACTTTCGATCTAGCTTCTGCATATGAGGGAAACATGCACTGTTTGTCTCTGAGCTTGCCTTTATCTTACTTAACATGATTTGTTCTAGGTCCATCCATTTCCCTGCAAATGATATAATATTGTTCTATCTAATGGCTGTATAAAATTCCATTGTGAATAGGCACCACATATTTTTGATCCACTCATCTATTGTAGGGCATCTGGGCTGTTTCCATAATTTAGCTATTGTGAATAGTGCAACGATGAACATGGATGTGCAAGTGTCTTTATTTAATATGATCTCCTTAAATATACCTAGAGCCAACATCTGCAGCCAAAAATTGTATTCCTATTGAAATTGGGGGGAAAAGGAAATAGGCTGAGCATGACAGATGCAGGCAGCTGCAGAAGTGGGTAGGTCAACCTATCCTCAAGGATGAAGGTTCTTGTCATGTTGCCACCTGGAAGTCTGTCTGCTTAAACTGGATCCTTTTAAGGAGCCCAGGCAGCGATAACAGTTCCTTTTTTAAGAGTAAGTCAAATTTCTCCAAATGTTTCACCCCATCCATTCCCTCTTCTCTACTCCTCCAGTTTGTGACTATGTCCTTAGTGGATGGAGCCAACACTAAAACTATCTACTGCTGGTAAAACAAATGGATATTTGTTTATTTATTTTACTGTCCTGGGGCTTGAACTCAGCCTGCGCGCTGTCCCCAGGCCTCTTGGTGCTTGAGGCTAACGCTCTACCACTTGAGCCCCAGAGCTACTTCCAGCTTTTTTGAGTAGTTTATTGGAGATAAGGGTTTCACAGGGACTTTTCTGAACAGGCTGGCTTCCAGCAGAGATCCTCAGATCTCAGCTTTCTGAGTAACTGGGATTATAGGCGTGAACCTCCACTCAACTTCTGGCTTTTTGCTGGTTTATTGGAAATAAGAGTCTCTCAGATTTGCCTTCATGGGCAGTTTCAGTTTATGATCCTCATATTTCAGCCTCCTGAGTAGGTAGGTATTACAGGCATACACCACTAGTTATAATGTAGTAACCATATTTCAGTATCATTTGTTTCCCAATGTATTTTCTTCTGAAAAAATAGTCCATGATCTGGAAATGCAACAGAGTACCTTCCTAGCAGCTCAAGCACCTGAGTTCAAGCCCTAGTAATAGTCACATACACACACGCACACATACACACATATGTGTGTACATATACACACATGCCTGTTGCTTTTGAAGGCTGCCAAAAGTATCTAGCCTGAGCTAAAGTAAATCAAGGCTCTTCCAGCAGGATCAGAGATTGGAACTGGTTGTAGGAGAGGCTATGGTGTGCAATCAACCCACCATGTCTGCCACACACAATCCTTCTTACCTAGCCCATATTAAAGAATGGTTTTTCTTTCTTGCTATTGTTTCTAACATATTTATAAGGTGATTTTTTTTTGTTGCTTTGTATGTCCCTCCCCCACAGTATAACCCCTGTTTTCACTGTATTTGATGTTGGTATAATTTGGGGAGGGGAAGGGAAAAACAAATAGGGATACATGTGGACCCATTGCAACAATGAGATGTACAAGATACTATGTCGAAAAATGAACTTTACAACTTTGGCAGGGAGGGTGCAGGGGTGGGGAGGGAGATGGAAGGGCAGGGATGGGAAGGGGAAACAAAGGAGGAGGCAACAATGCTTGATAAGAAATGTACGCATTACCTTGCTCATGTAATTGTAATCCCCTCTGTACAGTATTTTCACAATAAAAAAACTTATTAATTTAAAAAATGTGAATTTTATATAAGGTCAATAGGAAAATAACTATTTTAAAGTAAAAACTGTACTAAGTACAGCATATATAGAGAAGTATACAAAAGTGTGTATCTTGATGATTTTTTTTTTTTTTTTTTTTTTTTTGGTCAGTCACGGGGCTTGAACTCTGGGCCTGGGCGCTGTCCCTCAGCTCTTCAGCTCAAGGGAAGCGCTCTACCACTTGAGCTACAGCGCCACTTCTGGTTTCCTGATCGTTTATTGGAGATAGGAGTCTCACGGTCTCTCCTGCCCGGGCTGGCTTTGAACCGCGATCCTCAGATCTCAGCCTCCTGAGTAGCTAGGTACAGGCGTGAGCCACCAGCGCCCGGCTTTATCTTGATGATTTTTTTGTTCAAATTTCTATGTAGTATTCCATTGAAAGGACTGAAACAAGGAAGCAAATGATTAGATTTGCTTTTTCAGAGAGACCAAAGACAAAGAGGCATTGTGTGTATGTGTGTGAGTGTGTGTGTGTGTGTGGCGTGCACCTGTCTGTACTGAAACTTGAACTCAGGGGCTTGAGCTTTTTGCTCAAGGCTAGTAGTACTCTAACACCTGAGCTTTTAGGTGGTTTGTTGGAGATAAAAGTCTCACAGAAAAGAAAAAGAAAGAGAGGGGGGAAGGAAGGAAAAGAAAGAAAGAGAGAGAGGGAGGGAGGGAGGGAGGAAGGAAGGAAGGAAGGAAGGAAGGAAGGAAGGAAGGAAGGAAGGAAGAGAAGAGAAGAGAAAACCAACCCTATTGGGGTTGATAGAGTAACTCGGTAGAACACTAGTCAATGAGCAAAAGCGTCAGGTACTGAGTTCGAGTTCCAGTCTTAGAACTAAAAAAACAAGAAAGCAAAGTTTCACAGACTTAACTGCCCAGACATGAAGCACCAGCACTGAGTGAAACCAGATATTATAATGGTCCAGACAATAGCTGCCTAATGTCAAGAAAATGTGAGATTATATATATATATATATATATATATATATATATATATATAATGGAAATCTATGTTTCCATCAGAAAGAATGACACTGCCCCATTTGTAAGGAAATGGAAAAAATTGAAAAAAAAAACATTAAGTGAAGTAAGCCAGACCCAAAGAAACATAGGTCCCATGGCTTCCCTCATTTGTAATAATTAGCATAAGTCTAGAATAATCCTAGCAGATGAACTGAATAGCTCAATATCTATGTACTTTTGACCATATAAGATGATGCTAAGTGAAATGAACCCCAAGACATGGACACAAGAGGTTTTTCTTTGTTGTTGTTTTTAATGTACTATGTGATGTCTTGTTTCTTTTGTATTTGTCCCTCTATGGTTTATCCCCTGTTGTCACTGTATTTGATTTTAGTACCCTAGGTATTGTATATATGTTTATCTGAATTAGGAAGGGAAGGGGAACAACAAAATGGTGAGACAAAGGACAAAAAGAGGAACCAATGCAAGAGTGATACTCACAAGAAAATATGTTGGATCTGTACAACTGTGTGTGGGGGTGTTGGAGGGGAGGGAAAAAGGAAGAAAAATTAGGGAAGGGCTAACAAGTTAAACAAGAAATGTACTCACTCCCTTACATATGTTACTGAAACCTCTCTGTATGTCACCTTGACAATAAAAATTTAAAAATAAATAAATAAGAAAAATCCTTTAATAAATGACTCCTATCACTGTCAAAAAAAAAAAAAAAAGAATAGTTGTGTATCCTATCTGGGATTGTGGTTGGGTTGGTGAAGAGGGTACATTTGAAGAGAGGCATTTGGGGCATTGCAGGAAAGAACATACTCAAGTTTTATGGCTCTAAAACTTACACAATTCAAGAGTCCTTTTTTAAAAAAAATTATAAATGTACCAAACATATATATAATTATTAATATAAATATATTGATTATATATATATTAATTAAAGGCCTTGAAAGCGCTCTACACAAACTTTCATCAAGTCATATAAATGTATCTATCTCTCACTATAGGAGAGATTAACAAATTCGTTAAGAATGAACATTTAGGGCTGGGAAGGTGGCTCAGTGGTAGAGCGTTTGCCTTGCATGCCTGAGGCCCTGGGTTCGGTTCCTCAGCACCACATAAGCAAAAAGAAAAAAGCCGGAAGTGGTGCTGTGGCTCAAGTGGTAGAGTGCTAGCCTTGAGCTGAAGAGCTGAAGGACAGCACCCAGGCCCAGAGTTCAGACCCCATGACCGGACCCAAAAAAAAAAAAGAATGAACATTTAGTGTTCGCTTCGGCAGCACACACATATACTAAAACTGGAACCATACAGAGAAGCTTAGCATGGCCCTGCACAAGGATGACATGCAAATTTGTGAAGCGTTCCACATTTTTTTAATTGTAACCCCTCTGTATGGTTTGAAGATCGAAGTCTGAGGATTGAGGTTTGATGCCATCCTGAGCAGGAAAAGTCCATAAGACTCTTATCTCCAACTGATCACCAAAAAGCCAGAAATGGAGCTGTGACTCCCCTAGTAAAGTGCTAGCTTTCAGCACAAATGCTCAGAGACAGTGCTCAGACCACACACAGAGCTAGGCAATCTAAAGTTAAGGTAAAAAGACAGTTCACACCAAGGACAGTAAAGGTGGCACTGTACCCTTCACTGGGTACACAATGTCTAATGGACTGTAACCATTCTAGGAGTTATGGTGTAAGGGGAATGTGGATAGCTCCTAGGGCCTCCAGAGGGTCATTGAACACGATGAGACCACAATGAATAACTGAAGTTATACCCAATCTCCACTTAAGGGTGCTCATAGAGCAGGGACAACTGGTGTGGTAGGGCAAATGACATGGTTCCAGAGCTGATTTACATTCTACAGAGATATGAAAATCAGCCAAAGGTTGGCTTAGGGTGAGGGGTGGGGAAATGATTTCAGCTAAATGAAATGAAGAACTTCCTAAAATATTCAGGATTCTGTCAACATTTTGAAGGCTCACTGACATTCATTCAAAGGTTGAGTAGCTCGTAATGATGTGCTAAAAGGAGCCTGGCACTGATACTGCATACCTGTAATCCTAGCCACTCGGGAGGCTGAGATCTGAGGATCATAGTTCAAAGCAGCCAACCCTAGCAGGAAAGTCCACAAGACTCTGATCTCCAATTAACCAGCAAAAGCCAGAAGTGGTGGTGTGGCTAAAATGGTAGAGCACCAGCCTTGAGCACCAAAGCTAACAAACAGTAACCAGGCCCTGAGTTCAAGCCCTAGTAGTGGCACATACATTCACACACACATACACACACACAAATTGCAATTAAGTGATCAGTTCACATGACCTAGAATTCTGAACCTTTTCCTCCATACTGTTTTCTCCACGTGTCATGTCCTAGCGACCTCTCCATTGGAGAGCTTGATGGGCAGTATGCTTGCAATCCATCAGCTGAAATGTAATATGATTGACAGCTTTCAAAGAGAAAAAGTATACATGGTTTTTATTTCCTATATTACTCCCTTTACTTTTGAAATTGAGATGGGTAATGGAGCTGATGATAGTCTAACTGTACTTCAGCATGATAATACATTTCTATTTAGGCTCCTACAGAGATCAAGGAAGGGGGATTTACAGAACACATTATCTACTATCTTCCTACAGGTGATTTACTATGGTACCCTGAAATGTGGTTGAAGTCACAAGACGGATAGTAATATTATATTGTGGTATATATCCTGTTCACATCAGGCCTTCGTAATAAAAGCCAAACAGCAATCTACAGAACCTGTCTTAAATCTGCCATCTAAGATACTGATTGTAAAATAAAATGATCAAAGCACAGGTTATCTCTATATCGCCTTCCCCTGAGAGAGCGGGATGCAAAGAACTTCCTACTTTTTATTTATTTACATCCAGGCAACAGAAACATAAATTACATTAAAATCCTCAGTGGTGTGTGAACTGAATAAAGCAAACCTAATATGTAGCTAAGTAGATTTTTTTTAAACATCATAGAGTATAAGCTGTGTTGTTTCTTCAATCCAGTGCACCTTTTACTACATATTGATAATCAAACAAGCTGATCAAAAAAGTAACAGATTAAAAGTGGTGGCTCATGCCTGTAATCCTAGCTACTCAAGAGGCTGAAAATTTTGAGGATTAAGGTTTGAAGCCAGTCTGAGCAGGAAAGTCCATGAAATTCTTATCTCCAATTAACCAACAAAAAGCTGGAAGTAGAGCTCAAGTGACAGAGCAGCAGAGTAGGAAAAGCTAAAGATTAGTGCCCAGGACCTGAGATCAAACCCCAAATACTAGCACACACGCGTGCGCGCACGCGCGCACGCACACACACACACACACACACACACACACACACACACACAAGAAATGAAAAGAAAATATCAAAATCAAAACAAACTTCTCAAGCCAACAAGTTCATATACTACAATCCTGATGAAAATAGTTTATTATTATTATTATTTGACACCTGAAATTTAGAATTCCTTGTTTTGTGGGGCACCAGTGGCTCACACCTGTAATCCTAGCTAATCAAAGGCTGAAATCTGAGGATCGTGGTTCAAAGCCAGTTGGAGCAGAAAAGTCCCCATGAGACTCTTGTCTCCAATTAACTACTCAAAAACTGGAAGTGGCATTGTGGCTCAAGTGGCAGAGTGCTAGCCTTGAGCACAAAGAGCTCAGGGACAGCATTCAGGCCAGACCCTGAGTTCAACCACCAACAACAACGAAAAGAATTCCTTATTTTATTTTTAAGTAACTTTTTCAGGGCACAATTAAAACTGACTAGCACAGATAAGTTAACACTGCAAAGAGAAGTCACAAGTGATTTTTTTTTTTTTTTGCTGGTCCTGAAGTCAGGTGCTGTCCTTGAGCTTCTTTTGCTCAAGGTTAGCACTCTATTATTTGAATCACAGCTCTACTTCTAGCTTTTTTTTTTTTTTTTTGAGTAGTTTATTGAAGGTAAGAGTCTCATGAGCCAGGCATTGGTGGCTCACACCTGTAATCTTAGCTACTCAGGAGGCTGAGATCTGAGGATCATGGTTCAAAACCAGCCCACGCAGGAAAGTCCGTGAGACTCTTATCTCCAATTAACCACCAGAAAACTGGAAGTGGCGCTGTGGCTCAGGTGGTAGAATGTTCACTTTGAGCTGAAGAGCTGAGGGACAGCATCCGTGCCCAGAGTTCAAGCCCACAACCAGAAAAAAAAAAAAAAACCATCTCATGAAATTTCCTTCTTGGGTTGGCCTTGAACCTCAATCCTCAGGTCTTAGCCTCTTGAGTAGCAAAGAGTATAGGCCTAAACCACCAGATGCACAGATTATTGTTAAGCAAACTTTGTCTTTACTGACAATTATTTAGGCCAAACTTACTTGCAAAAAGGATATCCATTGTAGTAATTATGTTGTATAGTGGGTAGATCATCCTCTCTCTAAGTGAGTACAATGTCATGGAATCAGGTAATTCAGAATCCTTAGAGGAGATAGAAAGTCCCAATACTTTGTTCATAGGTCTACTGTCCCCCAGCTTCAGATACTTCATTCTCAGTTCTTATGCCTCATTTATTCAAATTCCTACTGTGACACTTCATCTCAGTGAACTATAATAATTTGCTATAGACATATTTATATATAGTTATAGTTGCCATGATATATAATTTGTCTTCCCAACCAGACTGTAAAATCATTTAGAAAAGAATTTTTTTCCTGGGTCTCCAGCAGCTAGCCCAGTACTTAGCACCGAATGAGAGCTCTTAAAATGCCTGGTAAAATCAAATGAATATTGAAATGATAACACATGCCGGGCACCAGTGGCTCACACCTGTAATTCTAGCTACTCAGGAGATTGAGATCTGAGGATGGTGGTTTGAAAAAAGCCCAGGCAAGAAAGTCAGTGAGACTCTTACTTCCCATGAGCCAACAAAAAGCAGAAGTGAAGTGGTAGAGCACTGACCTTGAGCACAAAAGCCAAGCAAGAGAGTAATGCCTTGATTTCAAGCCTCAGTATTGGCACAAGTATACACACATACAAAGGAAATAATAACACATGACTTGAAAGAAAGAATAGGAGAAGAATCATGTGGCGTAGGAAGAGGTCAGTGCAGTCATGCTTGATTAATTGCTGTAGAAATGAGAGCTGCTATAGATAGATTAAAAACATGGAGATGTTTGGCACCAACTCTATTGAACCAACTTCTCTTCTCCCATTTGGGTTAGTCATTTCCTCAATTCTATCCATTCATTCATTCATTCATTCATTCAACAAGTACCGATTAAGAGCCAAGTATGTGGTAGGCAACCATTACTTGCTATAGAAGTACTGATTAGGTAATGGTGGGCACTGATTACATATCTCCAAATGACACAGTGAAACACAAGATCACTGTAATTTATGACTTGTGATTTCATTACAGATAAGCCAACCTAGAGTCAAAGCTGGGTTTCAAGGTTAGCCCAGGTTAAACCATTGAACATGTTCATTTTTTCAGTTAAATATATCCTGCAACTCGCTAAATAGCCTTATTTTCCTTAATGCTCAAGGATTTATTTAAGGAAACAGATGACAACACAACAAGATCTTTTTCAATCCTGCCTTGCTTCTCCAACTTTGCCAGGAAATATGCTAAGTAGTACTTACAATTATGCTAAAGTGGGCCTAGTTCTCTCAAAGAGCTTCCCATCACAATGGAAACCACTGGACAGGGTGCTTACCTTGTTCTGTACTTGATCCTCTGCTAAATGCAGAGAATATGCCTTCAATAAGTCATCCCCATTATAACATAATATAGACTTATGTAGGCTATGAAGAGATTTATTTGTCTTTTTAATCAATGATAAAGAAAAATCCTAACTAAGTATATACTTATTATAGTTTTTACTGATTCTGGGGTTTGAACTCAAGGCCTGAGCTTTTTTTGTTTTTATTTTTGCCAGACTTGGGCTTGAACTCAGGGCCTGGGCACTGTCCGTGAGCCTCTTTGTGCTTAAGGCTAGCACTCTACCACTTGAGCCACAGTGCCACTTATGGCTTTTTCTGTTTATATGGTACTGAGGAATCGAACCCAGGGCTTCCTGCATGGGAGGCAAGTGCTCTACACTAAGTCACATTCCCTAACCCTAAGCTTTTTTTACCCTAAGCTTTTTTTTGCTCAAGGTTAGTGCTCTACCACTTGAGCCACAGTGCCACTTCCAACTTTTTCTGAGTTGTTTATTAGAGATAAGAGTCTCATGGACTTTTCTGCTCAGGCTGGCTTTGAACCATGATCCTCAGATCTCAGCCTCCTGAGTAGCTAGGATTATAGGCATGAGCCAACAATGCCCAGCTTTTATATATATTTATATTTATTTATATATATTTATGTATATATATTTATATATATTTATTT